CCCAGAACTAAAACAATTTCCAAGGCCAACTCTTCAGACAGGGATTGGACTGGACTGTGGGACATAAAGTGATACTCTTGAGGAGTGTGCCTCTTAGCTTAAGTAGATGCAAGGGACTAAATGGGAAGCTTCTGTCCTGAGGTGAGATGGGAAGGCAGAGAGGGTTGGGAGCTGGTTGAATGGACACGAGGTATCAGGGGTGGAAAGGAGGAGTTTGCTGTCACAGTATGGGGAGAGCAATTAGAGTCACATAACAACGTATATATAAATTTTTGTATGGGAAAAAAATAATAAAAGATTCATACAATTAAAAACAAAATGAAAGGCTTATTGAATGCCCATAGCTTTGCTTAACCCTCTGGCTTCCTAAGTCTTCTCTTCTCTCTGTCCTCCAAGCCTGAACCTGAGCAACAGCGACATCCTGACCATATACGATGGTGACGAGGTCATGCCTCATATCCTGGGGCAGTACCTTGGGAACAGTGGCCCCCAGAAGCTGTACTCCTCCACACCAGACCTAACCATCCAATTCCACTCAGACCCAGCTGGCCTCATCTTTGGGAAGGGCCAGGGATTTATCATGAACTACATAGGTAGGTGTCTCACCTGGTCAATTGTTTTCTTAGTGTTTTAGATGCAGGTTAAAATGGTTTCCTGTAGATCTGTCTGTTTGGGAGTTTTGTGCTACATAAGACTTTCTTTACATTGGAACAGGAAATATATGTGGTTTTTTCAATAGTTTAGCTTAATTAGTAAAGAATGCCTGCCTTGAGCATTGTGCTTCTCTAAAGAACTAACTATATGGGATCAAACTGACAACAGCAACTGGAAACATTAGATAGGAAGCTTAGTGGGCAGTGAGATTATGTTAATGGGGAGGAACAACTCAGAAAAAGAAGGTGTCTTAGGCTGGGCTCTCTAGAGGAGCAAAACCAGTGAAGTATATGTGTGTGTGTGTGTGTGTGTGTGTGTGTGTGTGTGCATGTATGTATGTATATAGAGAGAGATTTATTTTAAGGAAATGGCTCATGCAGTTGTGGAGGCTAGCAAGTCCAAAATCCATGGATCAGGCATCAGGCTTCTCCTGATTCACTTGGTTGCAGGGGCTGATGAAACCAAAATCGGCAGGTCAGGCAGAAGGCTGCTGGCTCATGGGGCTGCAGGAGCTGGCAAATCCCAGATCAGATGGCAGGCTGCTGGCTCACGTCCCAAGAACCAGAGGTCAGAGGAGTACGAGCAGGATGCAGGATCAAGAGAGGGCTAGCTTTGCCAGAACATCCATATATATTGGATGCAGGCCACACCCCCAAGGAAATACCCCTTTCAACTGTTTGGTTACTCAGATCACACAATGGAGGATGATTACATCATATCTGCCAAACCACTGAAAATCATGGTTTAGCCAAGTCAACACATAACCTTAACCATCACAGAGGGCGAGAATGGTTGCACAATTTGAGTAATGCAATCAATGTCACTGAATTGTACATGAAGAAATTGTTGTATTGGCGTATGATCTGCTGTGTACATTTTAAACAACAACAAATTATTTAACAATATATGTGTGTGTATGTGTGTGTGTGGTTTTTAAGAGCTTGGGCTCTCTAGTCAGAAGGACCAGGGCTTAAGTCCTAATACTGTCATAAATGCTGTATGACCTTGGGCAAGTCACTGTATCTCTCTGAGCCTCCTTTCTGTCATGTGTAAAATTGGAATACAGCTACCTACTCCCAAGGTTGATATCGGGATTTGATAGATGATGCCTAATAACTTCAAGATTCATCACATTTTATTTGTAGTCAGCTTAAATTTTATATCATCAACACACTTTCCTCTATTTGCAACTTCTCAAAGCATTGTCTTCACCTTCTTGCCTAAACTGAAGCTTGTCTCTCCCCTGTAGCTCATCCAATAGAGTCAGCTCTTACTCTCCCACTCCACGTACTCTAGGACTTTCTGGTGCAAAAGAGGTCTTCATTGATCCTCACTGTGGCTTCTGAACCATTTCTCTCCCACTATCTTAAGACAGCCCATCTCCTTTGAAGTTCAAATTAAGTTCACACTTGACCACCCAGTACCCCCTCCCCATTGCTTGCATCTACCCCCGCTTCCCTCTTCACTCCCCACCCTCTAACTCCCCGTCATTTATTACTGGCTCCATTACCCTCTTCTGCTCAACGTCTAAACCCTGGAGGTCCTAGGCTTCATCCTGGACCCTGTCCTCTTCCAGTCCCATGGCTTAAAATAATACCTATATTCCATTGCCACCGCCCATCTGTCAGTTTGTCATACTCTGGTGGCTTGCGTGTTCTTATGATGCTGGAAGCTACATCACCAGTACTTCAAATACTGCAGGGTCATCCATGGTGGACAGGTTTCAGTGGAGCTTCTAGACTAAGACTAGGAAGAAAGGCCTGGTAATCTGTTTCCAAAAATTAGCCAGTGAAAACTCAATGGATCACAATAGACTATTGTCTGATATAGTGCTGGAAGATGAGTCCCCTATGTTGGAAAGCAACAGTGGACTCAAGCATGCTGGCTGTCACGAGGATGGTGCAGGACCAGGCAGTGTTTCTTTGTGTTGTACTTCAGGTTGCCATGAGTCGGAGCCAACTCAACAGCAACTAACAGCATTTCCACTGACCCCCAAGTTTTACTTCCAACCTTGAACTCCAGACTCCTATCTCCAAATACCCTCAAACTACTGTCCTGCGTGTCTAATAGGTATCTCAGATTTAACATGGCCCAATCAGAACTATTTATTTTCCTACTCCACCACTACCTCAAACTGCTTCTCCTACTATCTGCCCATCACAGGAAATGGAACCCCAACTCCCTGGATTCTTGGGCCAATTTCTAGGACTCATCACTGCTTCCTTTTTCCTCATCCTCATATCCAATCTGTCCTCTCAATTCTACTTCCATGATACATTTCAAATTCAAGGACTTCTCTCTGTCTTCCTATGGCCACACCCTCGTCCAAGCTGCCATCATCAAACCCTTAGAAAGCAAGTCTCACCAGCTTCCTAACTTTGATGCTCTCTCACCCCTGAGATCCTTTCTCCACCCAGCAGTCAAGGGGCTGGAACATGGTGAAGTCCCACTGATCCCAACGCCAGAAGGGACTTGAACTGATAGAGTATCTGGTCCAACCCTGTAATGTCCCAGGAGAAGAAGCTCTGACCAGTGATGAAAAGGGACTTGCTTGTCAGGAGCAGAGATGAGCCTCACACCTAGGCCTCCTGGCTCCCAGTTCTAAGGGTTTCTTCACCCCTACCCCAGTACTTTTGGCAGCATCAGAGAACCTGGGAGACACAACAGGAGGTAAGACCTGTTATGTATTGAATTGTGTCCCCTCAAAAGATGTTGAAGTCCTAACTCCTGGTACCTATGAATGTGAACGTTGTTTGGAAAGAGGGTCTTTGAAGATGTCATCAGTTAGGTCAATGTGGGGCCATACTGTAGTACAGTGAGTCCTAATCCAATATAAGTGGTGTCCTTATAAAAGAGGAAAAGAGACACAGAGACAAGACAGCCATGTGAAGACAGAGACAGAGATTGGAGAGATCTACAAGCTAAGGAGCACCAAGGATTGCCAGCCAACACCAGAAGCTAGGAGAGAGACATGGAACAGATTCTCCCTCAGAGCCTCAGAAGGAATCAACATGGCTGACACCCTGATCTTGGACTCCCAGGCTCTAGAACAGTGAGATAATACATTTCTGTTGCTTTAGGCCACCAGTTTGTTACAACAGCCCTAGGAAACTAATACAAGACCTAACTTTTTTTGATGTCCAGAATGGTGGATGGTAGGTACACCCTGAGGATCTCAATGAGCAAGTTTCAGCCAGCAATTAGGGGGCATGCTTATACCTTTCAGGAACTAGGTTGACATCTTGATCTCCAGGATGAAGTGACAAAAAGAGGATTCATTCTGCCAAGACTTCCCCCTACCACCACCACCAACAACCACGAAATACCCTCTGGCTGGGGCAAGATCCTGTGTCTTTAGTTCTTTCTTCTCCTTGGCTTGAAGAATTGCCCATCTCCATCCAATATAATTGTCCTCTATGTACCACCCCTTTACACCAGAAATAGAAGCCACTCTCCTGACCATTGGCTGTGCCAAGGAGCCCCATGCATGCTAAAATAAGTTCCTTGCTTTTTTATTTTCAGTTGATGACCATTTTTCATCCTTGCCTGCTGTGTGTCCGCCTCTCAAAGGGGCTAACACAAGTATTGATTCTCTTTTTTATGTTTCTCAGAGGCCTGTTTACTCCTTGATTGTGCTACTAAATATTTTCAGGCTGTTATTGTTGCTTCTTTCAGGGGGTTCCCCACTCTTTAGTGGGCAGTGCCCTGGGGCATTGTAGGGTGGCCTGTGTTGGCTGCCCAGTCCAGGTGCCCTCTGGAGGCAGCTGCCTTTGAAGAGAGATGTTCTCATGACTTGGCTTCAGTCTATTTCCTTTGACTCCCCCTCCTTCCCCAATAAAGGATGAGGTCATAGTTTTGCTCATTTGTCTTCTCTGGTGCCCATGTCAGTCGTCCAAAACTGCATTTTGCTTGATGGCATGAATCTGACTCTCCAAGGCTGATCAAGGTTAACCAGAAAGTCTGCTTAGTCTGGTAACATCTTGATGAGGAGGTGTTCTTGTTCATTGAACTTGAAATTTAGATTTGTATGGCAATTTATAGTTGGCAAGCACTTATACATGTATCATTTTATTTCATCTTCAAATGTGTTAGCTCCATTTTCCAGAGAGTTTGGTTCACGGAAACTCATGACACCTCCTATGTGCTTGATGCTAGACCCTGTGCTAGGCACCGGGATATAGGAATGACTAGAATGTTCTCCCTGCCCTTGAGCAGATTACTGAAAATGGGAGAGGGAATCCTGTAGACAGGCCATGTCAGGGCCATGTGCTGATGCTGTGGGAGAGGCAAGACAGGATTTCAGAGAACACTTCCCAGGGATACACAGCCTGGCTAATTTGGGTAACAAAAAAGAGAGAGAGAGAGAACATTTCTGGCTATCCTTATTTCTGTTAAAGAAACAGAGTTATTTTCACGGGGATGAAAAATGGGGCTCTGTATTTAATTTTGATGCCAGTCAATTGCTTGTGACTACCTATGTTGAGGAGTCCCTGGGTGGTGCAGCTAACACGTTCAGCTGCCAACCAAAAGGCTGGATGTTCGAATTCACCAAGAGGTGCCTTGGAAGAAAGGCCTGGTGATCTACTTCAGAAAAATCAGCCATTGAAAACCCTCTAGATAGACACAATGGAATATTACTCAGCCATGAAGAGAAATAAGGTCCTGATACACACCACAATATGGATAAGCCTGGAAAACATCATGCTGAGCAGAATAAGTCAGTCACAAAAGGACAAATATTGTATGATCTCCTTTATATGAAATAAGTAAATACATAAAAACCAAAGATTATTAGTGGTTACCAGAGGTGGGAGGGAGGGGTAAACAGGAAGACGTTGCTTAGGGGGTATCTTAGTCATCTATTGCTGCTATAACAGAAATACCACAAGTGGATGGTTTTAATGAAGAGAAGTTTATTTCCTCACTGTCAAAGTAGGCTAAAAGTCCAAATTCAGGGTGTCAGCTCCAGGGGAAGTCTTTCTCTGTCTGTCGGCCTTCTCATCAGTGTTCCCCTGGACTAGGAGCTTCTCGGCGCAGGGACCC